CATGCACCGGGCCTCTAGTTGATGACATAATAATTGAAAATTCTTGGCAATTGTTTTGAAGGTTCTTTATCCTTACACATGCCACCTTGAATTAATTTATATTGTACTGGGTTCATTAATAGTTTTATTTCTTTATATATCTACTAGAGGCCCGGTGCACAAAAATTTGTGCACTGGCGGGAGGGGGGGTTCCCTCAGCCCAGCTTGCCCCCATCACATACTGGGAGCCCTACGGGATGTCCTACTACCTGCTCCCTGCTCCCCTTGGGGAGTGGGCCTAAACCACAGTCTGGCCTCCCTTTGTGGGAGTCAACCAGGCTGAGCAGGGGAAGGCCGCATTAGGCCTGCGCCGGGGCACCCCCAGCTCCCCACAGCCGCTGCCACCGCCATCAAGGATCACTGGCTGGCTCCTCCCTGACCCAGGCCTAATGCCTCAGGTTGAGGGTTTGGCCTGGGCTGGGGCACCCCCAGCTCCCAGCCACCAATCGCTGGCTGGCTCCGCCCCGGTTCCCCGCTGCAACTGCCATCAAGGATCCCTGGCTGGCTGGACCGGCCTAAGCCTAAAGCCTCTGGCGGGGGCTTTAGGCTTGGGCTGGAGCACCCCCAGCTCCCTGCCGCTGTCCCATCAAGCATAGCTGGCTGGCTCCGCCTGGTTCCCTGCCGCTGCCGCCATCAAGGATCGCTGGATGGCTCCGCCCAGGCCCCAGCCTAAAGCTTCAGTCTGAGGCTTGGGGCTGCCATATGCAAATTAGCCGCCATCTTGGCTGTCGACTAATTTGCATATATCACTGATTAGCCAATGAAAAGGGTAGCGGTCGTATGCCAATTACCATCTTTCTCTTTTATTATATAGGAATCTTGTCCTCCATAATAGCAAGTAGAATGACTCCCAATAGACCTCTGTCACAGAGCAATTGAATTAGGATTGTTAACCCAACCAATTTTGGTCTAGGTTCCACAACAGCATTCTGATTCACACAAGTCCTGAAAATCTGGGTGCTGAAATTGTATTTTTCTGTAAAGTAAAATTAATTTGACTTTCATATATACCAAGTAAATGCTTTACAGAAACATAAAATGACAAGCATCAAAATTTTGTAAAAGGAAACATAATTTCAATTTAATTATTACAAAAGCAAAATGTTTTCATTTCTCTGAAAGGTGAAACTTATTTTGGTTAAATATTAATTGGAATACTATTTTCAATTTTGAGGTTGGCAATTTCATTCAATTCATTCAGTATCTATTGAGCATCTACAGTAGGAAAGGCATTGTGTTACAGGAAATTGAAAGAGCTTATAAAATACAGTAATGTGATGAGTAGAATAAAAAATAGACAAATGAATAAAAAGTAAGGTTATTTAGTTTTTAGGGTGGAGGAAGGGAAGGCTGAGAATAGGTACATTATATACAGACAACCTGGTTTTCAGAAAGAAAAAATAGAGGCAGTATACTATAAAGGCAATATTAAAATATCAACAAGGAAAAGCTTATTGGTTCTAAGGGTTCTGACTCACTAGAAATTTCTGTGGGAAATTGCCTTTCATTTTTGAAAAATTTAAAGAACTTTCAAAGCTAGTTTAAATAGCCCTGTCTGTTAACAGGGATCTATGGAGGCCCAAAACCTCATGATAAGTTTGGGAAACTATCATGGTTTTTACTCAGATTCCAATGTAGTGTGAGTATAATTGTCCCAGTTTATGACTTTAACCCATACTCGCTTCTTAGATCATCCTAAATAAAAAACGCCTAATATGCTAAGTGTCTAGTCATCCGGTTGGCTGTTCAACCAATCAAAGCATAATATGCTAATGATATGCTAAGGCCTCTCAACTGCTCGCTATGATGTGCACTGACCACCAGGGGGGAGACAGTGGACTGGTTGATCAGTGGCTATGACATGCACTGACCACCAGGGGGCAGACACACTGACCAGTAGGTTAGCTTGCTGCTGGGGTCTAGCCGATAGGGACTGAATGAGACAGCCCAGACACACCCTGGAGTCCTCCTGTGGTCTCTCCCCAGCTGGCCAACCTCCTACGCCCCTCCCTGGCCCTGATCGTGCATTGATGGGGTCCTTAGACCTGGCCTGCGCCCTCTTGCAATCCAGGCTGAGGGATCCCCCCGCCCCCAGTGAAGTGCACTGGATCTCTAGCCCATAATGTCATATAAAAGTGACAGTGAAGCATGCAACAGGCCCACTGAATGCTTTTTTGGTAAGAGCACCTCTGAACTTGAACTTTAAGAGAGACTAATAAATCAAATGAGTTGGGTACAGCAGCTAGGCCCTGAGAATCACAGCTGCTGGTAATCCAGCTTGGGGAAAGAAAGGCAGGGGGAACATGAGCATAATCTTTAAATAGTTATACTTTTCCAGAAATGAATTTTAAGCTGACATTTGTACTTGGGCAAATTTTCAGGGCATGGTTGGAATTGACAGAGAGGCTATTTTTTTCTTAATAGGAAGATCATGAAATGCTGGTAGCTGGTGATAGCCACATTTTTAGAATTCAAGTGTAGACTGCTAGGGAAGAAGAGCAGATTGCCTGTAGTGCCCAAAATTGAACTCTACCAGAGTCTCAATAGGCAAAGTACCGCCCCCCTGAGGGTACTTTTGAAATTTGCAGAAATGTTTTTAATAGTTACAACAAAAGTTAACTGGACTTCTGTGAGCAGGACATAGAAACGCTAGATGTCTTGCAGTGATGAAGAAAGCTCCGAACAGAAAAATTGTCCATATCCAACGTACCATGTGACTTTCTAATGTCACACCAGAATAAATCCATTATAAATATAATTGCAAGTACTTTACCATGTAATATTGGATTTTTTTTTCAAGGAATTAAAATAACTTAGAAGAAGGCTGTCAGCAAGAAGGATATACAAGTGGAATTAAGAAGTGACCTTAAAATTATGTAACAATTGACTTTTTCTGCCCATAGTGTTTATTCAATGTTATGTATTTCCAACTACCTATTTAAGTTTAAAGGGTTTCAGTGAAAGAATTTAGTTTTGGGTTGGCAAATATAAGACAAAAAATTTAAGACAGTGCAATGAATTATAGAGAATGCAACTATTGAGTAAACTAAGGAAAGATTACGCTTTGTTTCCTTGAGAATATTCTAGGAGTCTTCTAAATGTCAGCCATGCTACTCATGGTATTTAATCTGCTAACAAAAATACCCTGGATCCATATTATAGCTGCATGTATGAATATATGCAATAATAGTGTAGTTATTTGAGACTCATGAACACACTCAGACACAGCTTAAAATTAGCAGACATCTGAAACAGTGATATCAGTGAGTTATGTTAAGTGTTTTAAAATGTTTTGCCATTTTATATATTTTAATTTTTAAAAAACAAAACTAGATCTCTGCTGTGAAAATTAGATATTGAATTGGAATGCATTTATTTGGGGGTCAGTACTCTTAAACTGATACTGTCCCTTGAGGTTTACCATACAACTTTTTGCCAATCCATCCTCTTTTGCCTGCTGCTGGTTATAGGATGATCATCTCTGAGGTCCCTTAAACTATTAGAAACTAAATGAATATACCAATGCATGGTACATTGTTGAATATAGAAGATGTGTTTATGTTGCACAGGGTCATATCTTAGTTGTTTTTCATAATACGGAAAATTATTTTGATACTATACTACACAATAAGTTTTAGCTCATTTTCAAGAATATCATACTTTCCTCATTTCCCCTCATTCACAGCCTATTATTTTTCTTGGCTTGTTATTTCTACTTTAATTAAGGTTATTTCCCTCTTTCTTTTATCAGATGAAAATATATCTAGTCTCTTATTACTTCTCTTAATTTTAGGTTTTATTCTATCTGTACTTATGCTTGCTCAGTTATTTATAACTAATCAATATAAACTTGTTCACTTCTTCATTTATTTGTATACTTCTTATATGGAAGAACTACTGATCCTTTTACTTCTTGTAAACTCCAACTTATTCATATTAATAATGTTTAGTCATCAAGTAATTTCATTATGATTTTTTTGAACATATACATAGGGAATCCATATCCATTTATTATAAACTAGAGGCCCAGTGTGTGCACGAATTCGTATACCAGTGGGGTCCCTTGGCCTGGCTTGCAGGATTGGGCCAAAACCAGCTCTCTGACATCCCCTAAGGGGTCCCAGATTGTGAGAGGGCACAGGCCAGGCCTAGGGATCCCACAGGTGCATGATCAGGGCCGGGGAGGGACATAAGAAGTTGGCCAGCTGGGAAGGGGCCGTGGGAAGGCTCCAGGCGTGTCCAGCCCATCTCACTCAGTCCCAATCGGCTGAATCCCAGCAGCAAGCTAACCTACTGGTCAGAGTGTCTGCCCCCTGGTGGTCAGTGCACATCATAGTGACTGGTTGACTGGTAGACTGTCTGCCCCCTGGTGGTCAGTGCACATCATAGCGAGCAGTTGAGTGTCCTTAGCATATCATTAACATATTATGCTTTGATTGATTGAACGGCCAACCTGATGACTGGACACAGCATATTAGGCTTTTATTATATAGTATTTTATTTTATCTTGATTTTATATTAAAGTTAAGACGTTATATCAAATTTTAAAATATCAATGCATGGGTTATTTTTCTTATGCATTTAATTGTAGATATTAAAGAGAGCATTACATAATAGTGATATGAAAAGGAAATGGCTTCTGATGGGTTGAGTACACTGCGCTAGATAATCGCAAAGATCCTTCCATCTTTAAATCCTGAGACTCCTTAGATTCTCTAAGCTTACTATGACTGATGGACACTCCTGTCTCCCAATACAGTAAGCACTGCACTCACAGAAACTTATACTAAGATGAACATACTCTTCTGTTAGTATAAATGACTATTTTTCACTTCTAAAAGAGAGTGAACTGTTTTTGTGTGATTTCCCTGAGTTGAAAAGACCATGCTAACCCAAGAAATGCAAATGCTAGTTTCCCCAGCATAATCACTTTCACACTCACACCTGTGCACTCATCTCACCTAGCTTGACAAGGCGGAGCATGGAGGTATTACTTCCTCTTTCAGTGCAAGCAGTTACGGAGAGATTGTAGATATCTCCTGGAGGCAGGCTGAGAATTGCAGTCATGACATTGCGTGTTACCTGCAAGATCATCAAAATCGGGGTTTAACCTTCTGATCAACTTGAACTATAATACCATTCTAAACAATTTCAGGACTATCACAGATATGGCCTCTCTGTGCTGTGCTACAATCTACAAGTGATTACAACCTCATGAATAAGTTATTTCCTCTAAAAATGATATAAATTCCTGATCTGAGCCAAATGCAAAGTAGCTCTAAATACACATAATACATATCAGAGCATTTTTGCAATTGATTCCTTTGTTTGGAACAGGTATCACTCTGATATTTCCCCTCGTATTCACAGCAAATTTTATAAAAGATAACTGCTGGGCTGTTCCTGATAGGAATATTTCTCAGCCCTGGAACACTGAGAAGAAACGCAGCCCATGATGGATACTTGGCTTCTTAACTGAAGACTGTATTTCCCAGAACCTCCCTGTAGCTAGAGGAAAGCATGTGACCCAATTCTGACCAATGGATTGTAAATAAAAGTCATGTAGGCAACTTAGAGTTTCATTCACACTGTGTAGGTACCGGGCTTTCATGGCCTGTCTTCCCTGCACAGGTGATTCTAATGATAATGAAGGGTCACTTATACAGATGAGGATGACATAGAGTCGCAGCTGGAACAACAGAGAGAGAATCTGGACCCTGTATGCTCCTTTATGGTACAGAAGAGGTGCCCTGTTAGTCCTGGGCTAGCATGAGAGACACATAAACTTTGATTTTCTTTGAGTCACTATATATTTTTTTAATTAAAGTCATTTACTCTTTACCCTAACTAATACAATGTCAAAAAGCTTATTATACCAGGAGAAAAGAAATCAGCATTACTAACATACCCAAATATTTAGGTGTTGGGGGATATAAGGACAAAATATTGAAATTTGTTAACTATGGTTTTCTTGAAAATGTTTAACATCCTGAAGAAAACACTTAAATCATAACACTCATAAGTGAAATTAATAGTTACAACTATTTCAGCGAACTATTAAAGATTAAAAAGTAAGCTCTATAAAAAAAGGAATTTAATTTTTGTTCACGGTCCTATCTCCAGAGCATAAAACAATGTCAACAGGCATACAAACATTGGTTTAATGTCTCAATACATTTTGCCTAATGGTTGTCCATAGTTTATGCAAATGAATGTTCAGATGCCCATACTGGGATTCAAAGAAACCTACGCTCTTTTTAATTTTCTTCTTTCCTTCTGCAACAACCATCCAATGCAGCATTCTAGAATGGGAGAGGTCAGTTGTGTCATCCCCATATGTCCAACTGATATATAACAGACTGTTGAAATATTCCACAGAAGTGATTTCTGGAGCAACTGGGGCTATAAGGTAGAAAAGAAGAACACTTTAGTGTAAGAGATTACTAACAATTAAAATGCTTATTCATACAGCATGAAATCCCATGTAAAGTTAAAGAACTAAAATTCACACCATATGATGGTCCTGGATAGACCTGGAACTCCCAGTACCACAGGTATATACTCAAGGTGGGCATTTGTTTCCTGGGACCTCACCTTACAGCTCAGACACAAGACAGCTCCATCTGAACCTGAGGGTATCAAGGTCTTTTATGTAACTGTCAGTTACAAAATTCCTAAAATGTTCACTTGTTTGGGTACGATTGTTGCATCAATTAATTAGTCATTAGGCATTGGTGAACTTATTTTCAAAGAAGTACTGGAAGCTCTGGGGTTCTATAAAGATACATCTTTTTTTTGGTTGTGGCACAGCCAAGGTGCTTATGGGAGTAGTGGGACAGAAAAGAAATACTGTTTCCATAAAACACAAGGCAACATCATTGACAGTGTTTTAGTCCAGTGCTTTGCAGAAAGTAACCTTTTAATAAATGCCTGTGGAAGGATTTTTTATCATAATGCAAAGTTAAAGTCTAACACTAAGTTTATTAATGTATTTTATATTTTGATACATTTAAACTTTAAGAAAATTTCCAATTGGGAAGATGGGCTTTATAATATATGACCAGTGAAAGCATATTTCCATTATAATATATGACCAGTGAAAGCATATTTCCATTATTTTCAAAGTAACTGCTAATTCTGAAGATTTGAAAAAACAAATAAACAGTTGAATTTAAATTCCACGTGAATGGTGGTTTAAAGACAGGCAAGTTTTCTGTTCCATGATGCAGCAAAAACCAACTAAAATATTTGGAAGAGAATTTCTACAAACCATAAAGAATTATCTTCTTTAATTTGCTACTGATACTCAGCACAAACATTCAGCACTAATGATGCTTTGAAATAATCCGCTGTCAAGATTTGTAGTATACAGAGTAAAAAACACATTTCTGTGTCATGTGAAATAGCAGTAGCATTTCTATATATTTGACAATAAAATCTTGAAATATCAACAATGTATCTTAGCAAATAACACAAACCCACATCATATTTCAGAATATCCTAATAAAGGATATGGACCCTGTCTTCTTTGTGGCCTCTTAATATATTCCAATACTTCATTATCTGTAACGACCTATACTTATGTTTCTTCAAAGAATATTTTGTCATGTTCTAATTATCATGAGGGCAAAAACACATTTAAAATTTCAAACCCAGAAGCACATATCCCTCTCACAGGTACAAGGTCTTCAGATTTTTGTGCTCCGTGTTGTTGCTTTAAAATCCAGCATCGTGCTGGAGGACCACAAGATGTCACTATCTGTTTAGTAAGCATTGTTTGGCACAGCAGCATAATTATGAACTTGACTTGCAGAGGAAATAAGTTGCCTAACAGAGAGTAGACTTGAGGTCCTGATAAATCACACCTTATTAAAATATTTTTTCCTGTTTCCTTTTATACGGCACAATTTGGCAGTTTGGGTCACAATGGAAAAGCATAGAAAAGTGAAGTTTGTGATCCTCATTTGCTTTAAAATGAAATGAGAGAAGAAAAAATGAGAATAAAAATAAGTTAGCTACCATTATGTTTGAATAGTGATTTACATTAGGTAATTTAATTCTCACACTATCCTGTGGGGTGCTGTTATGTCCACATTATAGATGTTGAGAATTGAGACCTGTATCAGATAAGACTATGGACCGCCAATGTGAGCACAACGTAATAGTTTGTCCCAGGAAAAGATAGGAAATTACCAAAGATCAATTTCTTGAAGATAATAGACTGCCCACTTAGGCAAGTAGCTTGCTGATTAATCACAGTTTACCTATCCAGACTTGCTTTGTCAACCTAATTGTTACATCATGACCTTTGCCCATCCCAGTCGGTTTCCAGTTTTGAAAGGCACACCAACCACTTGGGTCCAGAACTATGAATCCTGTGAATGTTTCATGTCCCATGTGCCCTTTGAGATGCTGCAATGACTGCAAGGTGAGTTCCGCCTCCCTGTGTGAGGTCTAATGCCCTGAGCTTGGCTCTCTTAGTCAGGTGTGAGGTAATATTCCGAGTGTTACCAATGAGAAAATAGAAGTCTAGGATCACGGAGATAATTCTAAAGCCAGAAATTAGCAGAGCCAGGTCTGTTCAATCAAGTGTTCAGATGGGAAGTCTGGGCTTTCTCCAGTTCAGACATGGCTGGCTGAGAAGAGAAGAATATTCTCAGGGTGTTAATCCCAATAAAGTTAAACTGTATAAGTTATTAATAAAATGAAGTTTAATTATAATTAAACATGTAATTATTGATAAAGTCAACAGGATAACACAAAGCTTCTTAAATAATTGGTATTTTCTCCTCTTTTGAGCCAATGGGGAGTGCTGGACATTGGGTAGTAAGGAAAAGTGATGAACTATATAAGTAAATTGTGTAAGAATTCACATAGGATAAACTTCTTTCTTTTGTTTTTGAATTTATAAATTTCAATGGAACGAAGCTAGATGTCCAGTGAGGAAAACATTTTGCCAAAATTATTCATCATCTAAAAATATTTTTTCTCTGCTCTTTTCTCAGTACAACTCTAATTACGGTATTAGAGTCCACCCAAAAGTTCCTGAAAAATCTTAATTCAAACAACCAGGGTTAATGTCTCTTTTATGAATTTCCCCTTTTCATTGTCACCTCTGATCACCTTTACCATCTCTGCTAGCTAATCTAATAAAAGAGAAACATGCAAATTGACCGCACCTCCACTATGCGCCAGGCCACGCCCACCAGCCAATCAGAGTGACTATATGCAAATTAACCCAACCAAGATGGTGGCCGAAGCCACCGAGCTGTTTGAAGCAGGAGGCTTGGTTGCCCTGGCGATGGAGGAAGCCAAGCTTCCCGCTTGCCCTGGCTGGCTGTGGCCTCCTCTCAAGGCAACAAAGTTTCAACTATAGAAGATAAATAAATCCCAGATACCTGCTTCCAGCCAGCCTCCACTGGGAGCTTGGTTGGCTGGCGGCCGTGGCCAGCCTGCAAACAGCTATCAGCCCCTCACCCAGACTGGCCAGGCACCCCAGCAAGAACCCCCATCCTGAAGGGGGCATAGCCAGTCTGAAAACGGCCCTCAGCCCCTCACCCAGGCTGGCCACAAGG